TGTGTGGGGAGGGAGTGTCTGCTCCCAGCTGCTGCCTCTTCCAGCAGCACCTGTCTGTGGTGAGCCTCGTCTGGTGAAGAGCGCAAGCAAGGTAGTCCATCCAGCCGACATCGAGGGAACCTGGCTTGTGGCGTGACATGTGGCAGATGGCAGAATGACCGGCCGTTTGGGGGCAAACTGTGTTTGCCGACAGCAAGGCTGTGCTCTTGACCAACCCTTGGTTTTGTGCGTGCGTGTGTAATTCATCATTTTGCTTCCAAGAATGAATGGAAGTGAGGGGACTGTACCACCTGTCAGTTTTCTGAGCGAGGGTAAGTGAGAGCGTGTGTAAGAACCATCCGTGGATGGGCTTCCATTCGCTGGACCTGGTGGAGGACTGCTTCAGATCTCTCTGTTATTTCACCCTGGGGGTAGGAATCTGTTTCAAAAACTCTCATGATGGGGCGCCTGGGTGGCTCAGTTGGTTAAAGCATCTGCCTTTGGCTCAGGTCATGATCCTGGGGACCTGGGATTGAGCCCCGTGTCGGGCTCCTGGCTCAGCCAGGAGCCTGCTTCTCCCTCTCCCTCTGCCTCTTCCCTCTGCTCTCTCTCTCTCAAATAAATAAATGAATCTTAAAAAAAAAAAAAAAGAAAACTCTCACAAGCACTGTGCCCGTTACATGTCAGAGTGACCTGTGGTCTTGTCATTGGTCACCTCTCCCGCAAGAAGCAGATTGGTTCTGCTCCTGAAGGGCAAGCCTGGGTCAGCATCCACCCTTCTTCCCACTTTAGTCCCCTCAACCTTCTTGTCCCAGAAAAGGATCATTGTCTCTCCCCTAAATCCCCCCATGATGGCTCCTTCAGTACAGCACTAGGGACCCAGCCACCTTGTAGCCATTTGGGGACAGCTGAGCTGATAGAGTCCTCTGAGGGCACCTGGTGTGGAACATGGGGCACCTTTGGGAGATCGGGGCAATCAAAGGCAACATATCCTTCACTCTCTGTTCAAGTCTCTTCTCTTGCGTCTTTAAAATTCAATATACAATAAAGTGGGGGTCTTCTTTTGTTGTAGAAGAAAATATTTTCATCTGTTCTTATTAAAAAGTCAAAATAAAATGAACAGAAAGTTTCAGAACAGGTCCCTATGCCAACTTCAAGCATGTAGTGGTTGTACAAGAAATATTTGCTCATCACTTACAAATTGTGGCTTAGAGTCATTTCTCTAAACCTTAAAAGTGTTCATTTCTTGGTGGAAAGGTTTTGCAGATACCTCAAATGAAAAGGCTATGCTTGACTCTTTTGGATAGGCAGCAGGAGAAATGATTACAACAATTTTCAAAAAGAGATAAGGACTATTAAGTAACATGTAATCTGAAAAGACCCACAGAATGCGCAAAGCCAAATTAATTATTAGTGTCATTTCCCCTCCCTAATTTAATAATTTTACATTATCTTAAAGAGGATATATGCATAGTTGTTAAAAACAGGTTCCTTTGATGACCTAAGTGTCCTTTGACAACCTAGGTTTGTGAATGGATGGATAAGGAAGATATCAAATACATACATATAGATTATATATAATGGAATATCACTCAGTCATAAAAAGGGATAAAATCTTGTCATTTGTGACAACGTGAATGGACCTAGAGAGCATTATGCTAAGTGCAATAAGTCGGACAGAGGAAGACAAACACCCCAGGATCTCATTCACATGTGGAATCTAAGAAACAAAACAAAAGACTAGACAAAACAGAAATAGACTCAGGTACAGAGAACAGCAGGAGGTTGCCATGGGGAGCGTGTTGGGGGATGGGCGACATAGGGGAAGGGGGTTAAAAGGTAAAAACTTCCAGTTATGAGACAGATAAGGCACAGGGATACAATGGATAGCATAGGGAATATAGTTACTAATATGTAATAACTTGGTATGGTGACAGATGGTAGCTAGATTTATTGTGGTGATCATTTTGTAATGTATATAAATTTTGAATCACTATGTTGTACACCTGAAACTAATAGAATCTTGTATGCCAATTACACTCCAATTAAAAAGTAACAAAACAAATTGCTTTGGAATTAAGATGATTATAAGCATGAGTCAGGAAAAAGAGGGCCAACCCAATACACAGGATGAAATGAAAACACTTAATTGGAGGCACCAAGCTTGCCGTCGATGTCAGCTAGTCAAAGAGCTGTGAGGTGCATACAGTTAAGGGAAAAGCTGAACAACTGGTTTTCTTTACTGACTTCTGCCTCTTTTCTGTCATAGCTGTTCAAACTTAGCTTCCTGATTCCACCCCCCCAATCCCACCCCCTGCCCCCAGCAAAATAAGGCTGCAATATCATCCAGGGGAAAAAAAAAAAAAAGAAAGAAAGAAGCTACTATCAAGCCATGAAAAGACATGGAGGAACTTGAAATGCATCTTGCTAAGTGAAAGAAGCCAGTGTGAAAAGGCTACATAACTGTATGATTCCAGCCGTATGACATTCTGGAAAAGGCAGAACTACGGAGACAGTAAAAGAGTCAGCGGCCGCTAGGGGATGGGGTGGGGAGAACAGTTGGAACATGAGGGATTTTTAGAGTAAAGCATCCTAACGGACACTGTAATGGTGGACACATGTCATTACCCACACGTCAAACTCTACAGAATGTGCGACACAAAGAATAAACCCTAATATCAACCATAGACTTTAGCTAATAATATTGTACCAATATTTGTTATTCATTTATAACAAGTGTACTACGTTGTGGCAAGTGTAGAGTGCCAAAAATAAGTACGATATGGTAGAGGAGACTATGTATGCATGTGGGGACGGTGGGGGCGTAGATAGAACTTTCTGTACTTTCCCTCAGTTTTTCTTTTTTTAAATTTTTTAAAAGATTTTATTCATTTGAGAGAGAGAGAGAGCACAAGCAGGGGGAGCAGGGGCAGAGGGAGAGGGAGAAGCAGACTCCCGACTAAGCAGGGAGCCTGACGTGGGGCTCGATCCCAGGACCCTGAGATCATCTCCTGAGCTGAAGGCAGACGCTTCACCAACTGAGCCACCCAGGGGCCCCCCCTGAGTTTTTCTTAAGCCTAAAACTGCTAAAAAATAAAGTCAATTAATTACAAAACTTAAGAAGCCTATAAAATCAAACCTTCAAACTATTAAGCTGCATGACAGTAAGTCACTTGCAAGCCTAGGTCACTTGGTTTGAAATTAGTTCTATGACTTCATATATACCTTATGTTGCTCTTAATTTGGTATTAATAGATTTTAATTAAATAACCTTAGTGTTAAAAAAATGAAAAGATTTTACATGTTTTAGGGTTTGATTCCCATGACTAAAAATAAGAAAAATCTCTAAAAACTTAGTGTCTTAAAAAAGAAGAGTTAGGCCCCCCAAATTAATTCATGCATCGATTTGTGTTGAAACTATATTTATCTGAATGACTTGTCTTTCCTCCCCAGCTCCTACTGCACTTCCCATATGAACAAGGATTCTGAATCTAAATCTTTCTGTGGAGGGGAAGAAGAGAGGAGGGCACAGTGTTACCAGAGACCCATAGGATCCCCATTTTGAAATGTCAAGTAAAAATACTGTCTCCCTCCCACCAGGCCTTTGCTCTTTCATAAAACAAACACGGACAATCAACAGTTAGAGCTGCACAGAAAGACCTGCCCTGAAATCCGGGCTCCACCATGGACGAGCGATCTGACTCGGGACCTGTCACTTTAAATTCTCCGGGACTCTCCCCTCATGTATCAAGTGGAGATTTAAGTAGGTACTTACCCGCAAGGTGAATTTACTAAGCTCTCAAGCAGACAGTGCTCCCTGTTTTATCTGTCTGGTTACTGTAGATGAGACCGAAAGCAGGCCCTGAACTAAAGTTGACTCTAGTGATGGAGAAAAATGAAATAGGGATTCCTTTCTGAATTAACGACTTCGCTTCACCCCCTGAGTTCACACTTCAAATGTTAATTCCTCATGGATAATAAAGATGGGATCAGAGTTTGAGAATGAATTCACCTGGGCAGAGAGGTGTGAATTATGAATTAAAAATCATCGACAATTTCTTTAAGAAGATTAGCTCTCTCTTAGATAAGCACACTTTATTGTTTTTAACAGCTATATATAAGAGCAGGAAAAAAATCTTATTAGGCCACAGAGTCTATCTATCTTATTTCCAGAGCATGGAGGTGACACATTCAAAATCCAGCCATGTTTGCTGTCAGGAAACATTAAAAGTCATAGGAAATATCTGTTGTAAACATTTAATGCTTCTTTCTGGGGTAGCCAAAGCAAACATTGAACGTTGAAACAGAAAACCCAGCAAACATTTTTCTATGGCTTCTCTGTCCTCTGTCAGTGGTTCCAGAAAAGTCTGCGAGGAGGCCAGACTTCCCGAACGTGGTTATGAAGCTGGGGGAGAAATCTCCAAAGTACTGACTTCCTGGCCAACTCTGCTCCCGTCCACTCTTCCTGGCGTTTTCCTATTTTCTCTTTCCCAGGATTCAAATAAAGTGTGACCCAATTTCATCTCATTGTGTTTACCTTCAAGGCCTCCAAGGTTTAACTTGAAGGTCCTCAGCAAGATTATGCAAGGGATCTTTGTCATCCAGACTCCTTTCCCCAAAACATGCTATATTCTCCTTCCCGGGGTCCCAAGATGCCGCGATGCCGAGTGGCAGCTAATCTGTGTGTGGCAGGAGACACCGTGAGATGTTGCAGCCCCAGAGGGGAAGATGAAGGCCCCCTGTGTAATGCCAGTTGGACTTGTTACCCTACTTCACTGAGTAATAACGACTCTCATCTTAACTTCTGTGGGTATCAGACGTGACAACAGTTATGCACACGCCTTTAAAACTGCCAAGTGCTGCATGAATACAATGTATGATCTTATTTACGTGACAGGGAGTTAAAAACCATACGGTGGGTTCTCATTATTCACAGCAGTTATGTTCTATAGAGTCACCGTGAGCACGGGATTGGTGAACACTGGACTATTGCTCCTAGGGGAAATACACGGTTAGGTTCCTGAGAGCCTCTGGTCACATTTCATCACCCAATCCATACATGACCTTGTTCTAGATGTGTGTTTGTTAAAGACACCTTATTGACTATATATTGTTGATCCATTAGCATTGAACTCCTAGCCAACAGTGCTAAAACTTAATGCTTACCAATGAAGCCTATCTAACACGCATATTTTATCTGGAAAACACATCACGGCCGCCTTGCTTGGGAGCAACAGCATTTCAGTACTACAGTTAGGTGACATTAAACAGTGAAATCACCAATTAAAAAAAAAACAACCTCATAAAAATGCAAAAAAAACAGATGGCACTAAATAGACCAGAAAAATGAGTTGTTAAGAGCGTGAGAGCGGAAATGAGAAGGAAATTTTGCTTTATTCCATCCATCTTGGCTGGGAATGTGTGCTCTGTCCTGCTCATGTTTGCAAAGGACCGCAAAAGTGCCACGATCACTCCTTTCAGGTTGTAAATTTTAACAAGTAGGTGAACTCCCAAATATGAAATCTCTGAATAATGAGGATTGACTGTATGTATACAAGAAATTAAATTTTTTCTGTCTTCTGGAATACTTTTGGGTATTATAATAAGAGAATTTTGGCTTTCACAATGTTTGTTTATTTAGAAATAATTGGGTATACACATGTATGCTGTGTGTCAGAGACAGGTGATTTGGGGCAGAAATAGGTCCCCTGTTTCTGACAGTCTGGTTTGAGCAGATACTAAACATATCATGAATTTGTTTTCTCACTGCATTTTAATGATAAATGCCTTTTTGGGGTTGTTTCTGTTAATGAAAAATTAACTTTGGAAAACAAGACAGAGAGATGATGGTACCAATGTGTTTTCCACTGAAATTTCTCAAAGTTTTCACTGCTTATTTTATTCTTTGTTGTTGTTGTTATTTTTTTTTTTAATAATAACTGGGTATTAAGGTCAGCCCTTCATTTTTATAAATTGAAAATCAAAGATCAGATGTAATAACACTTTCCATGATGGATTGAGCACTTACAGTGTGCAAGGCTCTGTGACAGGCCCTTTACATTCCCGGTACCATTTCTAATCTTCACAACAAAGCGTATGCCATGCGGGGGTACCACTATTAGGAAACTGAAGCTCAGATATGCAGAAAACCTGCTGAGGCTCTTTAGCAGGTGGGACAGCTGGGATCCCAGGTGTCTGACACCACAGTCTGTGCTCTTAACCTTCACTCCATGTAATCTCCTCTTCCAGTCTACACTTTGTTAAAAGATTTGCTTTTGTAGCTGTTTTATCTTGATATCTTGTGTGTCTTTGGGTCATAATGATGTAATTATTAATCACACTTGTTTAAGACACATTTGAGCGACAAGCCA